TTTTCAGGCGAAAAACTATAAAAATTGAAAGTGCGAAACAAGTTTTAGAAGCAGAACTATATAGATTGAAGAAACTTTTTAAAACATGAAATAACGGAGACACTTTTTAAATACTGAACTATAAATTTGAATATACGTCAAAAATTGAAGATACGAAAACATTTTACATAGGAACCATTGTGAAGATTGTTTTAGGACTCAACGCAATTAGATAAACATCAAATATAATTTCAGTACTTAAAATTTTTTGATTTGGAGAGACCAATTTGCTGCTATTGTGAACTGCAATTGAATTTTTAGGCGATTGTTCTATCTGTTATTTATTTTAGATAAATAATTGCATATTACAGGAAGCTGGCCGTTACGGGAAATTGATAAATGTGCTAACAAAATCTTTAATTAAATTCAAAATACTTTTTCAAGAATGTTTTATTTTTAGAATAAATTTGAAGAAAGAAGCCAAAAGAATTAAGCCGCTTAAAATATCTACGACGACATCCGCAATAATGTAAAGTATTATATTTTTAACAAATATTGTCGAAACTTACGTTTGGCCTAAAACGCATCTGATTGAAACAAATATTTGCATTGCATTGAAAGTATATTGTTGTAATAATATCCAAAAAAAATTATTAAAATCATAACAAATATAAGTCTTTTTTTTTTTAAATATTCGAATAACGAAAATAATCATTTTCAAATAACACCTATTTTTAGATGAAAATTCGCCCTGTTTGAAGAAGTAGAAGCCGAAGACGATCTGTGCAGACATCCATAATAATGAGGTAAATTTTTTTCCATTCAATAATATATTCCAGAGAAAAAATTGTCAAGAGCATATTCTGCGCCAAAAATAATTTGACTTATATTCCTCGTGACAACTGGCTAAATTATTTGTGAAGAATATTTTATTAATTTTTCTCTATAGACTTTGTAAATTTAAAAAATATAAATTAGACAGCTGAATGGTTCCATTTAATGGAGTACATATTAAGAGGAAAATAATTCAAAACAAAAATTGTGTATGGGACTTTTCAATTGTGAGGTGAAATAATATGCGAATGAATAATTCCCATTGAATGTCGTTCTAAAAGTGTCGTATATTTTTAGAAAGAATATAGCTAGATATGAGATGAAAGAATGAAAAAAGGTAAGAATTGTGTTTGAGGGCTTACATGATATGTTAAAAAGGTAATAACAATATACTCACAAATATTAACAATAATTAAAATTCGGATTTTATATTCGTATATTTCGTTTGCCAAAACAGACAATCCCAAAATCTTAATATATTAAAGTAAAGATAATCAAAATAAAATTATGACCTAACCCTAACCTGGTACGCATACTAGGGAATGAGAAATATTAAATTTTAACAAATGTTGTCATTAACTGACTTTTTTGGTATAAAACATATTCAAATGAAACATAACACTCAGCAAATACTCCAGGTAGAACATGATAAATCCCTTACAACAACTGAGTGTTTTCAAGTGCAATACATTGTGAAAGGAGATTTTCCTAAAAAATTGTTCGAGGACGTTCACGGAAAGGAAAAATAAATGTACTAAAAAATTGTTTTAATTCAATTAAGTAATTTTTTTAATTTGTTCATTTCACAAAACTGCTATTGAATACTTTTTAAAATAGCATTTATTTTAGGAATAAGTTCAAAGAAAGAAGTCCCAAACTCAGAATTATGAAAAAAAACTAAAATAAACAAAATGAATTAAATTCGAAATTGAGTGTTCCAATCAATGGAATTCAAAAAAAACTGACAAAAGTTTGTAGAGTGTAATTTATTTTGAAATGACAAGATTAACATACGTATATACTTGCTAAAATAGGGTATTTACAACTTTATTTTGATGGACTAAAGCATTTTATTTGTGGTTCGTTCTTGGCTAACTAATATTATGTAGTAGGGGCACTGTTAAACACTATTGAGATTAAATGGCAGCAAATTAATATTAATATTAAATTATTAATTAATAATTATATATTGAAGCTAAATATCGTATCATCTGCGCCGTGAACTAATTTTCTCAATATTTATAGGTTTTCTCAATTATGGAATCGAATTCATTCATCACATGTATTTATGCACCTCAAGTATGCAACTATGGAAGTAACTATGTGATTACGAACAAATGCATTGGAATCAGGCACATTTGAGATCAAAGTCATTAACATAAAAAGAGACTGAATGTAATATGATTTGTATGTATGACTCATTATCAATTATTTGCTAATATTATGAATGCAAACAATATAAGAACGCATAAATTACCATTCTTATTTGTATTCCTACTACGCTAAAATTTGTATTCCTACTACGCTAAAATTGTACATTTGATGTCTGAAATAGTATTTCTTTCGTTATATTGATGTTTATCAAAGTATTGTTTCGTATTTATTTGTATTTTAAATTCCTATTCTTTCCCATTATTTTATTATTTCAACATTTATTTCTGTATTTATATAATAATTTGGTATGAAGGCAACGCCAATCTAATCAACTTATTTGTCATATAATGTCAATACTGCCTTATTGCGAACATGACAAATGGTCACTTAAAACATAATAATAAAATACCTCATTATTGTCTTATTTACTCATTTTTGATACCATTTCTTTTAAATTAAGGATTCTGTCGACAAGAAATAGATATCATTGATTAGACGTTTATTAGTAAAAACCAGTCTTTTCGTGGTTGTTGATGCTGCCATAATACAAACCTAATTTATGACTTCATATCTTATTTATCAACACGCATTATCTTATGATATCATCATCTTCGATATCATCATCTTCTCATCATGAAATCATCATGACAAACCAGGCCGGCATGGTTTTGTCCTCTCTTCTGCAAAAGAATCTTTATACTTGTCTGTTACAACTTTCTTATCAAAATACAAACAAATAAAAACAAAAACAAAAAATCAACAAGATACACAAAAATATACAACTGTTGGGAGGGGGTTGGGGGGTTCTGGGGGTTGGTGGGCACCTGGACGGGAGGGAAAAACACAGCAGCATCGCGATCATAATTAGACAATATTTATTTGGCCTATAGCGTACAAAATTGTTGGCAGAATCCGGTAATGAGGTAGTCAATTGAAGTAATCTTCCATTTTTCTTATTAAATTTTTTGAAATTACTGTTGAATGTCGATGCCTTCTTTCATAATTCACGAATTAAACGTTTTATTAATTGAATTACTAATATATATGTATATGATGCACACTGTTTTATTTTTTACTGATATTGTATAAAATGTTACATTTTTCTGATATATTTTATTTTTAAGAAATTTTCCTAT